CTCCCCCCCCCCTCCAACCGGCCGCGACCGTCGTCGCGTCGCCGCCGTGGAATAGCGTAGCGACGCAGCGCGGCGCCGCGGCGGGGCGGACGGGGTGGCCCCGCAGGCAGCGCTGCGCTGGGCGTTGTGAGCTGTGGCGATGCCGCCGTAGGCAGCCGTAGGCCCCGCCGCAGTCATTCCGTACGACACCAGAGGCCCCGACAGCTCCGCCAGTCCCGCTGCTTTAGCTTTACTTGCCGAGTCGCGTCGCCCGTCCCGTCCGTCCGCGGCCGCCGCACGGACAGTCTACCTACCGGCACCCCCCCGTCGTCCAGGGAAGCTCAGCCGTCTGTCCGCCCGCCCTCAGAACAAAGGTGGGGCTACTACGTACTCGACGGCTTCAGTGGGGGATTATGGATGAAGGGCGTGGGCACGATAGCAGGCCACCAGTCTGCTGCGGGTCACCGCCACTGGCCGTGTACCAGGTGCCATCGTGCACCTTGCCGGCGTGAGGGATCGTCCAGAAAGTACGTCCGTTTGTTTTCTCAGATATGTCCGGCAAATTTACGGGAGCTCGGCGCCTGCGAGACTCGGGTTAGGCCAGCCCGCAGTACACGCATGCACATTAGGGGAAATGTTGCCTACCTGCCAGGCGCTATGAGAGTTTGCAGAGGGTGAACGCTGAACTTGGCAGGTTCGCAACGGCGCATGACGGACGTGCTTTCTGGCCGACGCCTAAGAAAGGGTGTTTGGAGTTTGGACCGCTGGGGTAGGAAGATGCAGCCCCGCCAGGCAGGCACACCTGCGCGCCGCGCGACATCTCCTAAGAAGCAGGGAGTGCTCGCCGGTATAAGTGAACTTCGGCTAACAGCGGGAGGAGAATAGCGTGTAGAACATAAAGGCTCGTGAATTGGAGCTCTCGACCAAATAGAGGGTGTTTGTGCTCGGCCCGTTATTCTCCTTCCTCCGTTAGCCGAAGTACGCTATTCCGGCAGGAGGTACAGGGGGAGGTTCGTCAGCCGCCTGACATTTCCCTCACCTCCGCACCGGCGGAGGTACAGATAAGACCGACGTGTTGCATTGCACACAATGCACCCATCTCAGCTTGAAGTCGCCCCCCAAGAGGGAGGGGCTGCTAAAGGCGCTTGCGACCGGCTCGTACCTAAATAGACAGAAGCCTTCTATAAATATCGGGCCGTGTGGTGACGCCTCCGAATCATCCAAATCAATGACAAAGGGCGCCAGTCCAATAGGTCGACTGCTATGACCAGTTCCTCGCCAACCAAACTCCCCCCCACCCCCCACCTCCCTCTCTCTTATCGCGAATCGCCAGTCGTTACCCCCCGAGGATACGTCACTCCCCCTCCTCCCCCTCATTTCATAAGCCCGATACACACGCATGGGGAGATTATCATTGTTGTCTTTTTAAAATTTCTGATATCCGTATCGTACCGAGGGGCGTTCGTAATCTCTGCCGTGAAGCGGAAGAAGGGGATCGGTCTCTTTACCACCACGACATTTTAATCATCTGTCACTGCCGTTTGTTGCATGGGAAGTTCCCTTCTGATAAGTCAACTTTGTACTGCAAACTAACTTTCTAACGCAATTTTGGGAGCTTCCGACAGTGTACCACCAGACGGCCGTTACAGATCAATTAAAGGTCATGGAGATAAGTTGACTTTTATCCCCTTATTCCGCTTCACGGCAGCTGTGCGGCTGGGGGCCGGTGGGCGGCGCGGCAGCGGCAGCGCGGCGGCGGCGGCGAGTTTTGTTTGATGGGCGCAACCCGACCATGGCGCTCGCCATGGCGTGGCCGCGGGAGCAGCCGGGAGGCCCGCTGACCGCCGCTGACACTGACAGGCCTGGCTGCCGCCCTCGCTCGTCGTCGAATACGCCCCATGGCAGGCTAGTCATGGGCCGACACATCACACGACTGTACGACTGTACGGCACCGCTTCCGGTCGGCCGTCCGGCGGGGATCGGGGGCTCTTGCTTGCACTGGGTCAGCCGCGCGCAGTTCGGTCGGAGAACACGCGAGCAGAGCCCGAAAACGTGCGTGCAAGCAAACGTGCAACAGGGGGAAAACAAAGGCAGGATGTTCACAGGGGTTCAAAACGCGCTACGCGCTCGCTTAATTTCAGAATGCGATTGAATTACAATTTTCCATTCAGTATCGTTCTGACCTTTAGTCGAATGCACCGCTTTTAGACCGTTTCCCAGAGCCGCTCTAGGTCATTATGATAAAAAATAGAACCGGACAACCGGGCGAGTGTCAGAAAAAACATTACTAATAAGAGAAAAGCATGGCGCCCGGGCCAAAGAAGGAACTGCTGGACCGCCAAAGTTCCGATGGACGTGTGCGTCGTGAGCAGCAAAAGTATGCATAGGCTTGTCGGCGGCCCGGGGTGACCGGGCGCGGCCGGGACAAGCTCACGGTCACTTGAATGGGCGGAGCCAGTGTCTTGTTGGGATTCCTCCCGCGGACGGGTTATGTCATGCCGGGATGGGGACGCGCAGCGAATCTCCTCATGAACACCCAGCTCGCCCAGCCCACACCCCGCTGCGTGAGAGGGTATGGCGGCGCACCCGTCTGCAGTGTTGTGTCAACAAAGCGAATGGACACGGGGACGGCCGAGTGCGACGCAAGCCTCTGTCGTGCCGGTGGACGTCGGGCTGACGCCTCGGTAACGCCCCAACGAAGCCCCGCCGACGCTCAGCTGACACCTTGCTGACGACTTGCTGACGCCCTGCTGACACCCTGTCGGCGCCTGCCCGGCGCCATTCGGTGGCTCCCCTAGAGGCTCCCTGACCTGGAATGTACGAGTCGGCACGCCCGCTCCGATAAGGAGTGGAAACGAGTGGAAAGGATATTGGCTCAAACGCAGCTCCGCGGAGGTCCATGTCACCCTCCCCGCCCCGCCCCGCCCCGCCGAGGTGCTGCGCACATCGGGCCGCGCTCCGCTCCGCGGTGCAGCGCACTCCAGCCCGACCCTGTCCCCCTTCTCATGCTCAGCTAATTCATCTCCCCTTCTATTTTTGCTCCGCAGGCTTATAGCCTTCCTCCAGCCGCACGCCGTCGCCGCCGTCCTCTCACACGATGCCGGCCGTCGCGCCCCTCAGCTTCGCGGCCGTGGACGGGTCGGACCGCGTGGGCCGCCTCCTGCAGGAGTACTTTGTGAGCGCGTTCCGCAAGGGCTACGTCCAGTGCGGCGACAAGAAGGTGGCCATGCCCGTCCGCTACGCCGACCTGGCGCAGCCCATCCTGGACCTGCCCATCCGGGACGACGACGTCTGGGTCGTGTCCCATCCCAAGACAGGTGAGTGAGTGCGGGAATCGCATGTCGTCCAGTGTCATCGCACGCGCAGCGGCACCATAACGACCCAGCGGCGCCCTCGTCCGCCTCGTCGCCACCCTGAGGAGGTCAGCACTGAACCAGTCCGAGTGATTAAGCCTCCGAGAGCGAGGCGAGCGAGGCAAAGGCGGCGAGCGCGGCGAGGCGCCTGGGCGCCTGCTGCTGGCAGCGTGCTGTGCTGCTGGGTGATGGTCGGCAGCCGGCAGTGGATGCCCGGCTGCCCGGCCGCCGGCGCTGGGTACGCGTTAAAGAGCCTCAGAGTGAAAGAGTCGCACGGGTCACGTGACTTGCTCGCTTCTGATTGGTTTGGTTCAACTGGGGCGGAAAACGCGTGGAAAAATTTTTCATACTTAGCAGAAGGCCCAGCCCGGCTAAATACGTGATATTACATTTGTCAGTTTGACTAATTTCACTTTGCTAGACGAAAAATATGAACGAAATAATGCTTTTTATTCATTTAAAATAGGTTACAAACAATTGCGAGCTTTCGATCGATTAGTTAATCCATAAATATTTGTGGATTAAAAATCGCTTCCAGCATGGCTTCTCCGGCTCGGCACTGGAGCGTGCAGGTTAGGTCACAATATTATCAATTTTCATACGGTATTACCTTAGTAATGAGTCTGGCAGAGTGTTAAAAAGTATTCCTGGGTATTAATATAGACTTTCTTTGATAATTTTTCTTAGTTAATATTTGTCTTTCATTTTAAGATCCCAATTGTAAAATAGTCATAGTTTAAATGCGCGCCTAAACAGTTGACGACTACACGGTATGAAAAATATTGCGGTCACCTCAACTCCCCAGTTGAACCAGTCACGTGACCCGTGCGACTCTTTCACTCTGAGGCTCTTTAGTACGCGTGCGTCTGGCTGGCTTTGCCGCCCCCGGCATCCCGACGTGAACCGGACGGGGGTGCTGCATGCTCGGCGTGCCGGACGGCGTGCCGAACCCTTTGGCACGGGCGCTGTCCCGGGCATTGGTCAGGGAGGGAGGAGGGAGGGGGGGGGGGGGGTCTGAGCTGGTCTGGGGCTCCTTATCGGGGACCGCGGTGCTGCAACGGGGACCCCAGAGTCCGTCGCGCTCAACTCCACAAGCCCGAGAAAGTGAGACACCACCCGTAATAAGTTACACTAAAAAGACGCCAAACGCATGTTTTTTGTGAAACGACGCGACCCAGGAGTAAGTAACTCGCGCTTATCTTAAGGCATCTCGAACTAGATTCGATTTGATGACATTCCCGTGCCGCTCTGGAGCACCTGCGGAAGATCCGCGCCCCCGCGAAACCGATCGGTAACACACCAACAACAGGTTAAAAGGAGGTATGGCCCTTGCCAAAATGGACCTCATTCTACGAACACATCGGTCGGGAGCACGCTCGTGTCAGCTTTGCTCGCCTGTTTCGCCACGTCCGCTGACGATCGACTAACGAGCAAGCTCGCGAGCGAGTCATCCCCCGATCAGCAGCGCGCCGCCCCGCACGTGCTGAGGATGGGACACCCAGGACCCGAGGCGGGCCGGCGCACCCCCCACCTCCACCCCCAC